TATCAACTTATTGTTGAATACGTAATTATAGAGGCTGTTTTGAGGGGTGGTAGACATATTCGTAATTATTTATATTGCATATTTTTGTCAGTTTAAGAATAAGGTAACTATGTTAAGGGCTGTTTTGGGATTGGGCCACAATGTAATAAATTAGATAAGGTTTACCTTGTCATCTGAACCTGAACATATGAATGGAAAAATGACAAAAATATCAAAACAAGCGGGTATTTTTTACTAGCAACATATAATGTCCAGGGGCTCCTTTCACGAAGCAACCTTTACTAAGGTTAACCTTAACTCCTATTCTTTTTACATTGCACTAAGGTTACCTCAGTGACTTAACCTTAGTGCTTTGTGAAAGGAGGCCCTGGTGAGGTTCCAGGATAGTGTCTTTCATGAAAAAGGAACAATATGTTCCCTTTTTCTCCTTTTCGGCTAAGAATTCACAAGTGACCCAGCTAAGCTGCAAAACGAATTCTTAAACTGTTTTTCGTTAATTATATACAGGAGAATCTCTGCAGTTGTACAAAACAGATCATATCGGATTCAGTTTCAACAAAACCAGTATTGGTCCTCCTCGACCTCAGCGCCGCGTTCGACACCACTGATCATAGCAGGCTTCTGTCTTGTCTCAGGAATAACTTTGGTATTGATGGGATAGTGCTGGATTGGTTCACATCTTATTTGACAAATCGTCATCAGGCTGTATTCATCATTGATGGTTGCTCTTCTGACAACGTTCATCTCCAATGTGGTGTTCCTCAGGGATCTGTACTGGGACCGGTCCTTTTCACACTATACACAAAGGATCTCGGGACTCTAATTGACCAGTTTCAAGTCTCGCGACAGTTGTATGCCGATGACACCCAGCTTCATAACAGCTTCAAACCAAATCCAACTGACGTGCATTCTGCAACAGACCACATGGCAGAGTGTTGTGACCAGATCAAGTCATGGATGTTCACCAACAAGCTGAAGCTAAATGAGGACAAGACAGAGTGTCTTCTGGTAGGGACAACACCTCGCCGAGAACAGACCAACATCAAGTCGTTTCACTTTGGCGAAACCACTGTTCCACTATCTAACAGTGTTAAGGACCTTGGCGTGACTGTTGATCCTGAGCTGTCATTGGACCAGCACATTACCATCTTGTGCAGGACATGCTTCCTACTCCTCCGAAACATTGGAAACATTCGAAAGCTTCTCACAAAGGAGTCAGCTAAAATCCTTGTCCTCTCATTGGTGATGACAAGACTAGATTACTGCAACAGCCTCTTTGCTGGTGCAACAAAATCCCAGATTGGTAGACTGCAACGGGTTCAGAACACAGCAGCAAGAATAGTCACTCTCTCACCCAAGTCAGCTCACATCACCCCTGTGTTGAAGGACCTCCACTGGTTGCCCATTCCACAGCGCATCACTTTTAAACTCTGCATTCTCGCCTTCAGATGTCTCTCTGGAAGTGCACCTCAATATCTGTCCGACCTCCTTTCTCCATACAAACCAACAAGATCCCTCCGCTCCGAGAAACATAATCTTCTGTGTATTCCTAAAGTCAGAACAGTTAAATTTGGTCAAAGAACTTTCTCTTATGCTGCAGCCTCAGAATGGAATCATCTCCCACAACATTTGAGAGAAATGACAGAACTTTCAACCTTTCGAACATCGCTAAAGACCCACCTTTTCCAAAAAGCCTTTTCGTCCTGACATCAGCGCTTTGAGCATGCATTGTGCATGGAAATATGCGCTTTATAAATGAACTATTATTATTATTATTTACAATAAACTTCTTTTTTTTTTTCTTATCATCTGAAGATTAGATTACTCTAATTCCCTGTTACATGGCATGTCCTCAACATATGCCGGGGGATATCCTCAACAGACCACCTCCATGGTGTAGTGGTTAGAGCGTCCGCCCGGAGAGCAGAAGGTCGCGGGTTCCATCTCCGACCGCGTCATACCAAAAGACGTTAAAATATGGTACTTGTTAGTCGCTGCCTGGCGCTCGGCATTAATGGGTACAACAAGGAACGGTCGCCTCGGAGTCAGTATAATGTGTCTGAGTGGGGTATTCATGCTTCATTGCGGCATGGTATCTCAGTGGGCTAGCACTATAAAACCAGCTTCAGTCTGGGCTAGTACAAGCAGCCGCACATACACATACACACGCATGCACGCAGTCATATGAGCGAAATATTCTCAAGCACGTCGTGAAACCCAATTTCACCTCACCTCGCCGCATATCCTCAACACTCCTTCATAAACTTCAACTCGTCCAAAATACAGCTGCCAAGATCATTACCAGGACATCTAAGCACCAACACATCTCTCCTGTTCTCAAACAGCTCCATTGGCTACGAGTTTCCAGCAGAATCAAGTTCAAAATCCTATTCCACACTTTCCAATGCCTCAAGACAGACTCTGCTCCTTCTAATCTCAAAACCCTTGTTCAGCCTCACACAACAAGCCGGACACTGTGTTCCCAGGACAAGGACCTTCTTCAAAAGCCTCACTGTAAAACAGCTATGTGCGAACGCAGTTTCAGATGTGCAGCAGCATCTATGTGGAATGCTCTTCCAGACAACATCAAGCTATCAGAAACGCCATCAACATATCGGATAAACTTAAAAACTCATCTTTTCAAAATTGCCTGTGGCTGTTAAATTAAGAGGCACTGTGTATATACTGTGTCCATACTGTGAATATGTGAAAGCGCCAGTGAACAGTATACCTTGAACCTTTCAGCGCTATACAAAATGATTAGATTAGATTAGATTATATGTCTTTGTGTCATCAAACATGTCACCACATTTCATTCTTTTCCACCTTTTTTTCATGCTTGACATTCAACGAGTGTACCATGGGGATAAGTGACAATATTTCTTAGTTATCACTACAATGGAATTGCAAGAGTATGCAAAAAGCAATTCAGTTTATTCCCAGTAACAAACAAACTAGAAGCGAAAACGACAAACTTCAAGATAAACTTTACTCACTGATTCATGTTTCACTTGATACTAAACGTAATGGCAGCAGTTACATCTCTATCTCGAAACTATCTGAACTGAGGTTCAAATGAAAACATATGCCATTTGATGTGAACTGTGAAGAATATACTGGACTTCGTCATTCATAAGTATATGGAATATATGAACATGACAGTTAGGTCATGCATCCATATGGGCACTAAATATGCTACCACCTTCTTGCTGATTTGTATTTGGTTTTCGTTATCGACGCCCTCAGCATTTTTCCTGCTATATGACGGCGATCTGTAAATATTCGTGCCTAGTCAATCCAGTAACTGACGTCAGGAGCATCGATCTAAGCAATTGTGACACAATGACATGAATCGACCAAGTCAGCAAGTCTGGCAACCCGATCCCGGTTTGAAAACAATCATAAGTTGCCGAAGACAGATTCCAACCCGGATCTTCAGGGGTTGTATCTCAATGTAATGGTATTGGGATTTCGGCAAAATCGAAAAGTGGCCATCAGTGGCTATCAGATCAAATACTTAATTTCCTTCCAGCCATTAACCAACTGTGATACGAAACTCTCTGTTCTGTTTCGTTATTCAAGCCTATGCATACGGTTCCAAAGTTTCAGGACACTAACCAGAACATTGCATGACAAGAGGGATAACTTCAACGTTCCCTTAAACTTCGAGAAATATTTCAGCAATTGCACCTATTGCTGTCTACATTTCAGCACCTTTGAGTACAACTGGACAATGGCGCCATATGCGCCTTGCCGAAACGTTGTTTGATCATGGAATTTACGATTTATTTCAGAATTTAAAACATCAGTGACATCCGTGTCCGACTTGCCTATGCATGTGTTTATGGTGGTTGTTCAGGAGTTAGGGATAGTTCGCACACCGTGTAGCGTATGTCTAATACTTGACTGTGATTTATAAACACACGCTCATATTTAGTAGGAAGCTTCAAGATGGAATATTTGCTTTTGCATATATGTGCGTGTGCCTGTGTGCCTGTGTGCGTGCGTGCGTGCGTGCGTGCGTGCGTGCGTGCGTGCGTGCGTGCGTGCGTGTTCAATTCGATCTGCCTATTGTCATTGGAACCGCTCTGCTCTGATCTAAGGTGTATCATAGATTGGTCTGCTTGTTTTCCTGGGTGGAAGCGTACAAGTACATCTCGCCGGTGGTGTGCCACAAGGCTCAGTGTTTGATCCGGTATTGTTTACCCTCTACAAGGAACCGATCATCGATCAGTGTTGATGATACAAGACACATGACCACAGGTATCAATAGCAAATGCAGCTGCGTCAGAAGTAACAACTGGCACTAAACGGATAGAGAGCTGGATGAACATCAACAAACTCAAACTCAATGACAAATAGACAGAATGTAAGCTCTAAGTCCAGGTTGCAAGATGTTCCAAGTCAAGTCTCACCTCGCTACAGATTGGTGTTTCCAATATTCTTTTCAGTTCATCTGCTAAGCAGTTTCTGAACTCGGAACTGTCGTTGAACAAACATGTCAGCCATATCTCGAAAGTTTGCTCTTTCCAGCTGAGTAATATTGCTAACATCAATAAAGTAATTGACGAAAGAACCTCTCATCACCCTGATATTCTCTTCCTTGTAACATCCAGGGTAGATTATTGTAACAACCTCCTTGCCTTTGCACCTGAAATTGTTACTAATAAACTGCAGCATATCCAAAAACACTACCTGGATAGTCTCCAGTGGTAGAAGGTAGGGGTAGGCGCCCAATGGTTAAAGCGTTTGCTCGTCACGCCAAAGGTCCGGGTTCGATTCCCCACTTGGGTACAATGGGTGAAAGTGTATCCTGTCGTGATATTGCTGGAATATTGCTACTCATCCTAGTGGTAAGAAATACGACCACTGTACTATGAGCCTAACTATGAGCGTGACTAACACTCAGTGTTATAATGCACTGCGTCCCCTCGTCCCCAACCATGATATTGAAGAATATTGCTAAACTAACTCCATACGTGTTCAACCCAACACAAAAGTACAAATGATCGAATAATTTATTCAGGTTTTGATCGTCCCTCGTTTAGCAGGCGAGGCATCCTGAGACTCGAGTTGGTTCTTTTCTGTCAGGCTGTTTTCAGATGTTAATTTCTGAAACGAAGAAGTTCATCAAATGAATGGTAGTTCTACAATACGAACATGACAGTATAAGGTAAAGGTGCCTTCATGTGAGTTTAATGTAAACTGTTTAAACAATATTATTGATTGTACTGTCAGACCCGACCAATAAAAGTAGTAGAAAATTATGGAGACAGATGGTTCCAGGGACAGCCCTCAAATGACTTTGATTGATAGTATTAAGTGCCAGAAAATGCACAGAAGCACCTTTGTTAAACCAGAACAGTGTTAAAAGCGTCGTTGAGAGTTCAACGATACAGGCCATAAGGGTGTGTGACCACAGTTCGGTGTGTTTTAACAGGTCTATGGGGACATTAACACCAACTTGACATTTTACAAATATATGGGTCATGGGGCGAATAAGCCCCATTCGGGTGGCAATAATGTACAGATAGGGTGTAAACACCAAAATGTGTGCTGACAAATGTGACCAGGAGGACATAGCCTTTGCGAAATTCAAGTTGTATCATCATGGCTGAGCCACACATTGTCACATTCTTTAGAGAACTGGGGCAAAGGGGGTAGCCTAGTGAATAAAACGTTTGCTCGTCTTGCTGGAGGTCGGGTTCGATTCCACACATGGAATGTGTGAAACACATTTCTCGTGTCACCAGCCGTGATATTGCTGGAATATTGCTACTAGCGACGTAAAACGTCACTCGCACATACGAGAACTACAGAACTTACATGACAGAGGCTTTGGGGGAGTCATGAACTAACAAATAACACAACGAAGAACGAAGGAGTTACTTGGTACATCCCAGATCTGGGGTGACTATAGGCAGGGTTGTTTCTTTATAATATACTATTTCCAGCTTGGTACGGAATCGAAAGGAGCCTTCGAATGAGGACACGGCAATCGAAAATTTGACCAATAGGCTGCCAACATGCCTGGTGATTAATGCATCATGCAATCAAATAACATAATCGAGTGAAAACTCCAATTGTTCCTTTTTTTCTGTGTGTAAGAAAATGAATCGTTCAGCTTTCCACCTTAAATATACAGGATTGATAGCACTATAAACTTTCTACCTGTGACATGGTATAAAGCATTACAATCATGCATCTATCACTAAGGACATTAAACGAATCCTAATTGACTCGAAATGTATTTACTAAACACATCGATTGCAACGTGTTGAGCACCATCAGAATCCATCATCCTTGTCCTATTGCCCAATTGTCCTCGACAAACTGATATCGTTACGAATAAACGACCTAAAGACACAAAATCTACTTACATCCGATGATTGGGAAACGGTGGTGGAAAAGACCAAATGGCTCGGCGAATGGAAGCAAGAATGGCCTACGGAAAAGGAATGGTTCTGGGAAAACCCGAGGGAAGATGGCGTGTGATGACACCATGGCAACCAGCATGCAGACGAGAAGTACAAGAGCTAAGACCTTCATTGTCGAATTCTCCTTGGCGAACTGGTATCTGCAAACATGAACAGAACTTTAACAATACCTGATATGGATAAAAGATCGCGTATTTATTGAGCTATGGTACATCACGAGATTGTGATTTGTCATCTCTGCAATAGCTATTTTTTAGCACATAGGGATCCTTTTTGACAGATAATCGATGCTGATTGTTGTACAGCGTTGACATGTTGTACTTTATTGTAATACCTTGATCTTTCTGTTGTAATCCGTCTTTGTGCATATAAAAATGCTGTTATTATTTTTAAAGTTTGAAACAGAAAAAAGTGATGTCAATGTTTCCCTTTTATCGAAGCTGCGCGGTTATGTTCAACCGTTATGGTCACAGATTTACCGCTGTGATTGAGTAATTGGTAGTCTCAGGTCTTATTAGCTAGTAATCACAGTGAAATACCTGTTCATTACGTTGTTAAAACAATAAACAGGTAGCACTAGAAAATGAAATGAAAACCTAGTTCATAAGATAAACGATTAAAATCTTATACTAACTTGTTTGTGTTTGTGATCAGTTAAGCCCATCATGCTCCAGTTCCCGTTAAGCGATAAAGAATATTTGTTAGATGAAGAATAACAATATCTGCGAAAAGGATTATTTCCAAAGTATGGTTGGTTTGTTACAAATTTCTTCTAAATGATTTGTATGGTCAAGACATGAACACATCGCTATGTTCGTAAATGCATATATTTTTTGTCAATGAATAAAGCGACAAAACCTTGTAATGTTGATGAAAAATATCTCTGAAAAGCATATGCCATTGTAGGATTCTGACAGCATCACGAGCAAGTGTTAATGAATCATTTTACACAGTGATGACACAAGATGTTCACGAGCAGGTGAAAAGTCTCCACTGTCAGAGGAGGTGCGGTGAAATTGGGTTTAACGTCGTGCTTGAGAATATTGCGCTCATATGACGACGTGCATGCGTGTGTATGTGTATGTGCGGCTGCTTGTACTAGCCCAGACTGAAGCTGGTTTTATAGTGCTAGCCCACTGAGATACCATGCCGCAGTGAAGCAGAAATAGCCTACTCAGACACATTATACTGACTCCGAGCCGACCAGTCTTTGTTGTACCCATTAATGCCGAGCGCCAGACAGGGACCAACAAGTACCATATTTTAACGTCTTTTGGTGTGACGAGATCGGGGATCGAACCCGCGACCTTCCGCTCTCCGGGCGGACCACTGTCAGAGGAAGTATAGCAAGCGGTACATGAACTGCTAATCATACGATATTGTATATAATTGTGTTATAGTATAAATACAAAAGGGACCCGTGAAGATCCGGGTTAGAATTGATCTTCAGTAACCCATGCTTGTCGTCAGAGGCGACTGACGGGATTGGGTGATCAGGCTCGCTGACTTGGTTGACACATGTCATCGGTTCCCAATTGTGTAGATCGATGGTCAGGATGCCTATGATGCTTAGTGGATTGTCTGGTCCACACATATAGCTTGGATATTGCTGAGTGCGGCGTTAAACAAAAAACAATCAAACCTTACCAAAACCTAGACTTTTCTTGTCTACCGTTCCCGAAGGAGATGAACAAAATGCTCAAGGGATAATGTAGAACAATATCAAATAGAAACTTGTAATCTTATTGGATAACGAGGAACACACATTGAGCTACTGTACCTGCAGGAAGGTTCTGGTCAGTCGGTGATGTGGGAAAACAGAAGATAAGGGTACTTATATACGTTTTATTCAAGATTGATTGACAAGAAACGTGCTGTCGCGAAGAAGTGTTCCGTTGTTTTTATGATCATGTCTACTCTCGATTATTTGACAACCTGTCGAACAGGGAAATCAGGTCATCTCGCAATATGTTTGTATTGCCCTTGTTCCATTACGTTGGAGTGCATCGAGTACATCCTTGTTCGTCACGGCTGTGGTGACCCGTGAAGGTCCGCGTTAGAATATTGATCTTCAGTAACCCATGCTTGTCGTAAGAGGCGACTAACGGGATCGGGTGGTCAGGCTCGCTGACTTGGTGGACACATGTCATCGGTTCCCAATCGATACTCATGTTGTTGATCACTGGATTGTCTGGTCCAGACTCGATTATTTTCAGACCGCCGCAGCTATAGCTGGAATATTGCTGAGTGCGGCGTAAAACTAAACTCACTCACTCAATCACGGCTGTGGTCATATTTGATGGCTGGTCACATAATGTTCATATATGCACGTCCAGTTGACCGTGCTGTTTTCCTAATTTCAAATGTGAGTGAGTTTATAGTCACATCGACAGTATTTCAGTCAAATCGTGACTAAACCTAGTAATAAGTTCATGATAAAAACAGTTAAATTATCAACAATACGTCGACGAAGGTCATTAAAGACAATTAAATATCACAGAAACAGGAATTAAAATAGCTTTAAAAATAAAAATACAATAACATTGTATTTCAATCAAGGCAAAACATTATTTTAAAAAACCGGCCTGTCTTTCGCTAGCAGCTGAAGGTAGATCACCACACTAGGGATCATGGGTACTTACAGTACTTTTGCTACCTGCATGGATCCTAGCTGGATTTACACCATCCTTTCAGCCGCTAGCGACTTTTAAAACAACTTAAAACAACAAATATACTACGATTAAAAAGCTTGGTAGACCTAAATTTACTTCACTCTGTGAATGCAGACCATGGATATTTAGAAATAATTTGTTTGTTGTTTAGTGTGGAATATACTCCAGCAATGTGACGTCAGGCTGGAAGTAGCTGAACCAGTCAAACCAGTGATTGATATTCAGAGCATGATGCCGCACCATGCGATGACCATGTCATGCAATCAACCAAATATGGCCCCCTGATTAACCTTGAAATGGAATGCTTGAATTTGTCTTGTATCATGTTTATGTGTGAATTATGCTGATGAAAACGATAGCGTTATTTTTGTTTAATATCATGAAGATATAGTGTGTCAAAGTTGCATTTAGCTGTTCAATAACGATTTGAGTTGTAGTAGTGAGTGAGTTTCGTTTTACGCCACTTTTAGCAATAATCCACCAATATCAAGGTGGAGGACACAGAAAAAGGACTTCACACATAGTACCACGAATCCGGGCCTTCTGCGTGATGAGCTGACGTTTTAACCACTAGGCTACCCCACCGCCCCTGAGTTCCACTAACAGTTGGTTTAATGAATATGCACCTGTCAACCTCTCTATTATGTATGATCAACACGCTGTAAAGCCGTAAGTTTCACGAAAGAAAGTGTCGCAAAAATTTTACGACATTTCCTTGACATTAGAGGTGAAGGAGTGTTAACTTGCCACCGACTTGTACTTGAAATAATCATTGATGATATTCAGGAGAGTTACTTCATGTACAAAGATATCGTACTACTAATACTGCTGCTTTGCAAATACTATGAATGTTTGTTCGTATGACCCTTTCTGTACTTTGTATTGTTGTATTTGATAAAACATCCAAGGCCAAGCGACCCGTGAAGATCCGGGTTAGAATTGATCTTCAGTAACCCATGCTTGTCGTAAGAGGCGACTAACGGGATCGGGTGGTCAGGCTCGCCGACTTGGTTGACACATGTCATCGTATCCCAATTGCGTAGATCGATGATCATGCTGATGCTCACTGGATTCTCTGGTCCAGATCCGATTACTTACAGCCAGCCGCCACATCGCTGGAATATTGCTGAGTGCGGCCTAAAACTAAATTCACTCACTCGCTCACTCACTCCAAGGCCAAGCCCTAACAAAGCTGTATTGTAGACGTGAATGATATTTACAATATGTAACGAATCAATGACATAACTTGTCTGATGTAGTTCCCTGTTTTGACTTGTGCCATATTTCCCGTCCTCTTCAGGTGCATAATTGACTTGCCCTTGCATGTGTTGGTGATAGGTTCAGTAACAAACACCGGGTTTCATCGCTATTTCATAATGTAATTCATAATTGTATACTTGTGATATACATACAGATGGAATGGTACCATGGACACTGCATCTCATTGTCATGAATAAAGTCTGTTTATCATTGCAAGTTATTTATATAAATATTCTGGCATGGTATAATTAGTTATATGCACTGCTGTTAGAAATAATGCCTAATATGCCTATTTCTATGTAAATGGCCACAGCCTCCAAACTGTGTTATATGGAATACCTCCAGCCTACAGTCCCTGCATCAATACATCTTTAAGAGTAAACGATTTGAAAATTATTCTAGGAAAATATATGTACACAAGTAATGAAATGTACATGTATGACTTAATTTGTTGATTTAATTTGTCGTTTTTGTGTATCCAGTTCTTGTATATTTTGTTCATATGATATTTGTACTGGTGGGGCATTAATAAAATCAAAGTTTTGCTTCTTTACCGAAATATAGATTCTTTAGGAATGAAAATATATTTAAACCATAATTATTTTTGTGACGTTAGTTGCCGAAACCAATCGCCTGCAAATCTCATGTTCAAACCAATGAATGTAGATGCTCGTGTCAAATATATCAACAATGAACAACCATTTCTTGTTTGTTATACCTTTAGCCTCCAACAGACACAGGTGTAGACTTTCGTTTCCTTGAAAATTTACACCACCGTTAATGACATAAAGACAATGAGTGAAGACGTAAGACACTTCATTGCATCTTTGAACAGTAGATCAGCATTTCCAGGGAGTGACATCGTGATGACGGAGCCATTCCCCAAGCGTCGCATGACTGTATCAACGTACAAAACACTGACTGACTTGTAGAAGTTTCAGCCCTGGGCAACGCCTTTGGTAATGTGTGCCCCATTGACAGGCGTGTTATGACGAAGGTGTTTTTTGTACGTGGGGACAAGTAACGTTCTTGTACAGGTATGTCTGCGTGATTGACAGACTTCCATAATCCCAGATTATAACATGATACATCAGTTAACGACGAGTGTTGGCGCACGGCATTAGAGACACGTGGCAAATCACAGAAGAAAGGCTGTTACAATGTACATCTTAAACGTTTAATGTGTT